TTTTTTTAAAAGAAACATGAGATATGAAATAATAATCTACTAAGACCCAATATTGGCCACATTTTCAAAATAGTGCATAAAAATGCTTTTCTATAGTGATAAAAAAAAAGTTTCCCGACTACTAAGATATCACTACTCTACAATATATTTATTTGATCGTTTTTATACCTTTAAAAAAATCATTTTGAAAACCTGGTAGGAAACCCATGGAACTTGATGTACTTCCTATAGCTGGAATTCCTGTAGGAATTTAGTTCATGTCTTTAGTTTGTTATCATATAATTACAGATTTTAAATCTACATTTTGTATCTAAGAATTACAAGATTAACTCTTCCAATTTTATGTAGTTTCTTTCGAGGAGAATTACTAGAATTTGTCTTGTTTTAATAACCGTTGGACAGCATCTTATATTTAAATTATTTCAATCCTCACCATTAGTTCTTTATATTATGCTATTCTTATCTGTATTTTTGAATTTTATGCTCAGGTTAATGTCTCTTGACTAGAACTCATGCATTTTTCTCCTTCTCTCAAGGCAAAGACTATCTGTTGTTTGATTCCATGTGTTCATGGCATCTTAGGAGAATCTCTGGTTCTTTGTCTCAATCTTTTTTCTCTTTCTGCTTGTGGATACAGCATTACAATTCTTCTATAGTTGTTATCAAGACAAATTCTAAGGTTATCAAGCTTTAAATTCCCTTTTAATTATCTTTTTTCCCTCTTGTGTTTTTTTTTCTTATTATGAAGATATGTTACACTTATTATTCTTGACACTGATCTGCTCAAATTAAAATTAACTACTCCCAGGTTAAGTATGTGTATTCCCATTATAGTTTTTATTCTCTTTTCTATTGTAGGGACAAAACCTGATTTCTTATTAAACAAGAATAAATTTCCGATGTGTGAATTTCCATTTTCTGTGCTCTATTTCTTATACCTTCTCTTTTGTCATATATGTATCCTTGAGTTTCTTCTTCTATATTAACCAGTTTATTCTTTATATCAAGTATTCATTTTGATGTAGGGGGATTTTGTGCCTTATTGCAACCAATGCACTATTTAGTTCTGTTACTGCATCTTAAATTCCTTAAGATTCTTCATATGTTCCATCTCACTACCACTTTACTTTTGTCTCCCTGTAAACCAGCTACCTTTTCAACTATGACTAGTATGCAGTCATCTCATCTTTCAACCCTTCCTCACAGCATGTCGATTTTTAAAAAAGATTATATTAACAGTTATCAAATATTATCTCAAATGTAATTCTGGAATAAACTACATTATTTCCCTGACTTTTCTTAGAGTGTTCTCCTTCTAGTATAATATACCTATTACTTTTGTCCCTTCAGTCAGTTACTTGGAAAAATGTACCCATTAGTTATGATTGTTAATCTAAAGTTTAATTTCATGTTGTAATAAAATTTCAAGCTGAAACAAAATAAGATAAACACACACACACAATACTTCTGAACTTACTCTTATTCCCTACCTCTCATTTCCTGAAGCAATATCAGCTCCAAGATGTGTCCAGGATTTCTTAGGATAAGCGCTATGAAGATGAAAATTTCCATAAACTCCTGAAAATAGAAGGCATAGCACATGAATAGTGAAATTGTTCAGAGTAATTCATATACATAAGTAAAAAGCATTCCTGATATTCATCAAAATATATGATGGAGAAACTATATATGAAAGTGCCCATCTTATTAGAAAACTTGGCAACCCTTTTATAGCAAAGGAGCCTTGGTGATGTAGTGGGAACTTCCGCTGTTCCACTCTTGGAAACTGACATGGGTTAGCTCTACACTATTGTGTAGAGTCACTATGAGTTGGCATCGACTAGATGGCAGTGGATGTGGGTTTTTTGGTTTTGATTATTTTATTGTCAGTCAAATATACTTCAGATGGCTGTGAAACTCAGGGTCTAGAGAGAAATGAATGCTACACCAAATAACCAGCTCAAAGCTGGCTGGGATTCCCTAGGTAGTACACATTATTAATGTGCTTGGTGACTAACTGAAAGATTGAGTATGGATTGTTTACCCAGAGGAGACTCAGACAAAAAGCCTGGTGATTCAGTTTTTAAAAACTATCCATTGATAACCTTGTACAGCATAGTTCTACTCTGTCACACAGGGAGTCACCATGTTTTGGAAGTGATACAACAGTGAATTTTATATTTATCTGTAGTTGATAATATGGACTCAGTTCAGTCTTTGATATTTGTCCAGTCTGAATGTAAATCCACTTTCTAGAAACACACACACACACGCGCGTATCTATAAATCTATCATTATAGCTTTAGGAGGGAAGTAAAACAAATAAGCAAACAAACAAATGATTGCTACCAGGATTCCTGTTCATAGTTACACGGGTCTTTTGCAAACATAACGTGCCTAACTCTGTCTCTGTGATTAGTGGATGGTTAGAATTCTTAAGAACACAAGTTGAATCACTTAAGGTTGTCAAAAGGACCATTTTGACCTGATATAAATACAAAAATGTAGAATTATTCAGAGAAGGGTTGGAGAAATTAAACACTGCCTTTAGAAATATATAGTCTTAGATGAAGGATGCTAGAGAAGCAATAGCTTCATATTTTGATATTTTTATTTAATAATAGTTTTATGGTTTGGTAGCATTGCATTTCACCTAATATCATGTGTGTGTAGGTGTATGTGTAGGTGTAGGTGTAGGTGTAGGTGTAGGTAGCTTTTCGAAGCCCTCTCACATAAAGTTTTCCATTCTTCTGCATACCATCCATCCTTTCTTCATGTTAGTTGAGACCTGTGTCTCCATAGTATCCTCTTACCAATAGTTCCAGAGTCAATATCAATGTCCTGTAATCGATCACAAAGGACCCCCTCGGAAGCCCGAAGGAGGATCAGAAGCTTTTGTTCACTATTCAACGGATTGTCCAAAGTACCTGTTGGCAAAAAACAGTATATAATTCTATATAATTTGAAATTAAAAGAAAATACAGAAGGGAGAATTGTAATACAATTTAGGGAATGTCGAAGTGGGTCATATTGACTACATGAGCCCTGGCAGTATAGTGTGAAATGATTCGGGCTGTTAGCTTCAAGATCAGCAGTTTGAAACCACCTGCCACTTGGAGAGAGAAAGGCAGGGCTTTCTACTCCTGTAAAGACCTGCACTAGCCTATTCTATAAGGTATGAGTCGGTATCCACTTGATGGAAGTGAGTTTGTTCATTGGTTTTGTTTTATTTTGGTTTGGGTTATAAGATTGACTAAGGATTAGAACCCACAGCCTCTGCCTTTATAGTGTGGAGTTGAATGCATCTAGGTATGCTGCCACTTTGTGCAGGTAATGCCAGTCCTCAGCTGAGCCCCTAATGCCATCCTCTCGGTCAACATAAGGCTGTGCTTGAGTACAAAGAAGGGAGGCAGGGAGGAGCAGACTGTGAAAGAAACTGTGTGCTGTGTAACTCTTATCATATAGTTAGAAGTCTGTCCGGTAAGCTGTTTTCCAACTGTGATTTCATTTATTTCACGGAGGGTAGTTTAGAGTCTTGGGGAAAAAATGGCCTAGCACTAAACAGATAGTCGAGAGAAAAAGTAGGACAGTTTTTGCCCTAGAGAAATGTGTGCAGAGTCCCACAAAAAGAGTTCAGCGTTCCTCTCAAATCAGAGATTAAATCAATTATGCAACCCAAACTGCAGCACATGTGGAGCTTTTGCAAAAAGTCTGGGCAAAATTAGCCAGCCTGCCGCGATCTTTTGGTATCTGCAATGACCAGAATTGGGGTTCTTTCTTTCTTTCCCCCCCCCTCAGTTTGGGGGAGGTGAAAGATGGAGGATGGGGACTAAGAAGAAAGATGAGAACAGGGTCTCAGGGGAGGAAATAGAGGGTACTGTAACATTAAAATGCAGGGCTTCCTGAATCTATAAAATCAGATGAAGAAAGGCCCCGAAATGCCAGGCTCAGTGTATTCTCCTATCTAGCACTCACTGAAGGGTGAGGGGTTCTCTACAAACTGGACTTTGTCCCCAGATTCGAGTAGCTACTTCTGAGGAAATCTCAGCAGAACGCAGATTCTTCCTGGCTCTCTTCCTACAAGTTGCACACGGCTGTTTGTGCTGTTATTGTGTGCCCTTGGACCCATTCTGACCCACAGGGACTTGAGTCCATGACAATAGAACTGCTCCACAGGGCTCCCTAAACTGCCATCTTTATGAGAGCTGACTGCCGTCATTCTCCAGAGGAGCTGATGGATTTGAGCCGCCAACCTTTCAGTTAGTAGCCAAACACTTAATTCTTGCTCCAAACTGTAACAGGATGCATTTTGAACTTGGGTTCATTTAAATACCCATGATGAGAGGATAGTTGTTATAGTGTTTCAGAGATATACTTGTTATTGTGTCACAAAAAGGTATTTTTAAGAGATGGTTTTAATTAATTCACACAAGACTATGATGAAAATCATTGAGGTTCTCATGAGGAAACTGAGACAAAGGGAGGTTAAAGCACCTGCCAAAGATTACACAGCGAATAAGGAAGAAGCTGGGCCTTAAATACCACCCTAGAAGGTCATGGAAGAATAGGAAAAGGAAATTGGTGCTGCCTGGCCTGGTGGTGGGCAGTGAAAGGTATGCTCAATATGTTCCAGATGCTAAAATCACCTGGGGAGATGGAAGAAAATAAGTTCTGGCAAAGAAAAGATAACCGTTGTGATGATTCAGGGTCTGTGATACAAATGGCGTCCATGAACTTCAAAAGGTAAGAAAAAGGGGGAAAGGACTTTTTTATTATTATTATTTTGTGAACTGAACATGTCTGAGTGATTCAAATACAAACCCAGTTCATACGTAAGCTCACCTCTAACAATTCAAATGCATCAATTTTTCTTTAGTCATCTTATTCAATATCCAACTTTCCCCTGCACATGGGGCAATTGAAAGTACCGTGCGACCGGGGTGGGAAGGAACAGGGAAGAGGGGCGGGGTGGAGGGCTACGATGAGAAGTGTCTGCCGAAGAAAGACCAAGCTTTCTACTCCTGTAAAAGAGTTACCGTCTCAAAATCCACAAGGACAGTTCGTTCTGTGCTGACCCACAGGGTCGCTCTATGGCAGTGGTTTGTTGTTTGTGCTTGGTTGTTGCAGTCATACTTGTGTGGTTGTTGCATTCATACTTGTGTGATTGTTTCATTCGTACTTGTGTGGTTGTTGCATTCATACTTGTGTGGTTGTTTCATTCATACTTGTGTGGTTATTTCATTCATACTTGTGTGGTTGTTGCATTCATACTTGTGTGGTTGTTTCATTTATACTTGTGTGGTTGTTGCATTCATACTTGTGTGGTTGTTTCATTCGTACTTGTGTGGTTGTTTCACTCATACTTGTGTGGTTGCTTCATTCATGCTTGCCAGGGGCAACCTAACAGCAACAACATGGGCACATAAGATAGTATAAGACAAAGTTGTAGATAAAACACCAGTTAATGTAAAGCACAAAAATCCCATAAACTTTCTTGTTAAGATAACTTTATCTGTATAAATGAAAAGATAACATTAGTAATCTTATATAGCCCATCATACCAGTATTTTTTTTAAATCTATGTTATAGGAGAAAAGAAAATAAATTTCATGGAGACAACAATATTCAATTTGCTGGTGTTTGTTTGTTTTTCATTTATTTAGAAATAAAGCCTTCTCATGCCCCAATAGAAAAGCTTAGAAATAATGATTTTAATTAAGATTAAATCTACAGGAATATAAATAAGCAAATATATGTACACACATGCACAGACTAGAGCCTTTAACTACTTAACCTTGTTTTATTGCTTATGGATACATATACACACACCATTAAAAATAAAGAGGTTTTCTGAAGCCCATATTATATTACTTATGTATCTAGTTTTTATGTTATGAAAGGCGGTCCCAAAATGAAATTTCAGATCACTCTCTCATAACAAGTTTGCATGTAATATATCTTTTCTTAAAATTATCTTGTTATGTAAAAAAATAGAATTGTCATTTAATGTCTACAAAATCTTCTACTTTGGTGATAGAGGTTCATGGGAAAAATAATAAAACTACATCTTCAGAAACACTGAATTAACAAACTGAAGTAAAATTGACTTTTGTGTTTAGTAAAGCACTCAAGACAGAGGACACATTTCATTGCATAAGTGTTTTTGCTTGAAATTCATATATATTTGAAAATAATGTAATGTCTTACTATCAAAGAACTAATATACAATCATGTATTTCTACATTTAACCTCAATATGAAAAAAAAATACTATTTAACTGTGAGCTACCAGCCTCATTAGACGTAATCAATAAAATGAGGGTTAGTGTTTCTTGAGCTTGTAAAGCATAAACTGTTAAGCCTTTGCTCTTATAGTTAAGTAAATGCAATACTGAAAAGTCACATCCCCTGGAAGTCATCTTTTTATTTGACTTGTAACAAGTCAATGTGAATATATACCAAGGTTTTCACTGATGACCTATGTTAGATAATCTGCAAAATTCCTCAATCCTGTAGATATCAGTGCACACTTAAATATATACAGTAAATGTTTGACTTTGTGTATTGTTTTCTAATCAGAGTTCAACTCAGAAGAGGATATCTTAGAATAAACATACTTAAACTATATTTCTAAGCAACATCACCACACAAGGTTCTTTCTGGCTGCTCAGTGGAAGTGACTTCTGGGTATTGTGGTTTTAGGCTGGAGGATATGTTTTAATCTACACTTTTCTCTGGTTTACCTCCTTCTTATTACTTAATCATCCAATGAACCTTACAGAACTGTCAGTTTGGAAGGCAATAAACTGTGTATGGATTTTTCTTCTTCTTTAGGATTGAAAAAGTTCCAATCATGGAAGCACTGGAAGAAACTTCCATACATCCAGTACTTCATTTCCTGACAATCAAAGGCATGTGCTAATGATAAGGTTAAGCTCCAGGCTATGAGTGTGAGACAGGACTGACAAGTAACCATCACTGGTCCTGCAAAACAGTAAGTGACAAGATTTAGGCTAAAAACCCAAGTTCTTAGTATAATTACTGAGCCACTAGGCAGTACAGCCACATGAACTGGTTGTGGCAGGCCAAAAAAACAATAAACCACAGAATCCCCAGGGGGAACCAATGTTTGCAGCATGTCATTGCTTATTTTGGGAAGCAAATAAAGTTAAATTTTAAAGAAACAAATGTATCTTTACTGCTAAGTCCTCTGACATTTTCCAGAAACCATTATAAGAGTATCTTCTGTTCTCAGTTTCCAATATACAAGATGAAAACACAGGTGAACAATTGCATCAATAACATGCTAACATCATCGATAACTAAGAGAGATCAAGAGCTACAAGGTCAAACATGTCTCATCTGATGTCTCATCTAAAAGGAGACAATTATGCAAGGAATGAGTTCAAACAGTTATTTCATTGTATGGAATTTTTAAAAAGTAAAACTATAAACAGATATTTAGGGACCAGACTTTGAGCTAATTATTTTAAATGTTTTTCTAACCTCAGATGACTGTAAAAAAATAAAACATTTTGAATTTGGACATCATCATCAGATTTTCCAACATGCCTTATTTTTTTCATAAAGTTAAAAAAAATATTGTGGTCATTTATACATAAACACTTTAACTCCTTCCTCACATATCTTGTGCAGGAAAAAAAATCAGTGAGCTGAGAGATAGACCTAGATATGCCCATACAAATAATACTAGATGTCTACTTTGCACTAAGTACAACACAAGGTGTTCTGAACAAGCCTATCATTTAATGGAAGACCTCCATGAAACATGCCATTTAATAACCATAAAATGAATGCAATGATGATAACATGATGTGTTACGATTGACAAAGACAGAAACCCTAAAATCGACTGAGTGGCACTAGAAAAGGCTTTATACATAATAAAGGTTGTGCTACGGTAAACTC